TGCTGAATTTCACACTGTGTCTCACACCTCAAAGCCATCACAACTTTATAGCAGTCCAGTTATTGATTGACTTTAGAGCTCTTCATTATACTTAATAATTTGTGCAGTACTGACTGAGTAGAGATCATTAAATACCGGCCGGTGCAGTTCACATGCGCGTTGGCCTCTGAGGACTCAAGAGGATTTTCTCTGGACAGTGGAAGGATTTTATTCAGAGAAACTTAATCTTCCTGAACCCTTTTTCCAGACAAGAAAACCAGTGGAAATGGTTTTTTTCACTAACACTCCATGTTGAGTCTGAAACTTGGTGCTGAAGAGCCTTGACTCAGGAAGACATCTGTCTTTTACTCCTATGTATGACAGTCGGCCTCAGAGCTTCTCCTTACTTGCTGAAGCCCTCTCCAATGGCTTAAGCTTCAGCACAGTTTGAGTGGGCTGGAGATACTTTCTTTGCCTTCAGTTTGGCCACAGTTTCACAAGACTTCTGTGAAACAACAGGTTCGTTTGTCTCCATAATCCCTACCCTGATTCTACTGTCTGCATCTGACCCTGCTGTTTAAATGCCATTATGGGACAATGGAGATTAACACACCCTTCTGACTTTTTCTCTCATCCCAAAATAGACGTCTGAAATAGGTCAGATGACTAATGTCTTAGGTAAGACATTAATAAGACAAGAATAAGCACTTGCCTATCTGTAGGACCCCACTGACTTCAAAGGGTACCTGTGGAGTAGCTTAGACAAAAGCAATCATGGCACAGGTTTCTGAAATTAGCTGAGATGAATCCCTGTCTTTGGATCTGTATGCCATTCAAATGAGTATTTTCAAGCTTAAGATTGTATTTGTACAAATGTATTTGTACAGACAGGCTTCCCTCCACGTACTTAGTACATGATGGCTTCATCTCTCACCTCAAGACTGACTTTGTCAGCCTTAGTTTATGAGGGATGCCCAGAGTGTGAATCTTTTCATTAACAGGGGAATGTGGTATCTTGAGTTTTTTATCACATCTACAATTTCCAGAGAAACTTAAGGAAAAATAATACATCTGGTGCATAAACCCCAGTGTAACAATAATTCTAGGGTTTAAGTTTGCAAAAAGCCAAAGTCAAGTAAGTCATTACAATATCAAACATTTGCAAAAATGAGGAAAATCCATTATCCACACTTCTCATATGTTATGTTCCCTTGTCCTCAAAAGCTGCTTAATCTCTTCCTTTTATTAAAAGTGATGCTTCAGCACCATTGCTAGGTTGGAGTTGGTCTCGTCTTCCCTAACACATCAGTACAGTTTTTCATTTGCTTTTTCTGTCATTGTCCTTAATTACATTATTTTTACTTGAAAAAGCTTTCTTACACATTTATCACAGCTGCCTACATAATATAGCACAAAAATACCTACCAACATATGCAGTGGTAATCAGCTTAACACTAAACCACAAACATTTTATACCTTCTTGGAAGCAAGGCATTGCATCCAATACAAATCTGGTTAACGTAGTTAATGGAGCCTCAAGGGTGTCTCAGGTGGCAGCCAGACTACTTCAGGGTGAGCTGTAACCCCCTCTAAATCCTACCTGTATCATCCATCAGGCACCAGGTATCACTTTTCACCTGTATGTTCACACTTTGGTTTGGCAGCAGCCTCCAGATAATGTAACTGAGAGTCATGTGCATGCAAACAGATGAAAGGAAGGCAACCCTGTTGTAGAAAGCCCTGGTATGCTTTGTGACACTCTTTCGCCTGTAGTACCTAAATTAGTTGCAAAATCCCTCTGTGGATCTTCTCAAAGACAAGCCCTGAACTGAGTAAAAATAAAATCACAATCTTAAACTTTGCTAAGCTTAAGACATATTTAGAACCTGTCGGAGCTCTTATGTGGTAACAAGTATGTGACAGTGACCCAGAAAGAGAAATGCACAGGGATTATTCATAGTTTAGTGTGTGGTGTCCCTGCTCATGGCAGGGGGGTTGGAACTGGATGATGTTAAGGTCCTTTCCAACCCTAACCATTATATGATTCTATGCAGTAGGTTGAAGAATCCTCCTCCCTCTCCCCCTGCCCTCCCATGGAGGGAAGGGAGGACAGTGATGCACTGGGGCTCTACACTTGCATCCAAGCCATAGTCCATATAGTCCATATAGTGCCACTTGTTTCTCATGGCAAATTTCCCTGCTTTAGTTCCCTAAATGTCACCATGAGGAAAAAGCAGTATCCTAACAGCAGTGGATAAGTGCGTAAAATACAATTTCAGTTCAGGGAAAGGTTAAGGGTCAGAAAATAGCTCATAGCTAGATGTCAGGCTGTGAATAAGCTGGACTATGGAGGTTTTGCACAGAAGGATGATCAACCAAAATGTGTGTATTCTGAGGGCAAAAACTGTCCACTTTCAGTAGCCTGTGGGTTTCCCCTGCAGCACCATGTTAGGGCCTTGACAATTGGACACACAAAAGAATTGTATCTTAAATTTCTTCACTATCCTTGCAGACAGCCTTGCTATCAAATCAGGAAATGAAGTCTTATTGTTCATCACTGAAAAAGCCCAGTTTCAGCAAAGACAGTTGAAACATGCAGCAGGGAAGGGTGGGAAGGAAAAACATGGTCTCCACACCTTAAAATTATGAGGGACTTTGGAATGGTTCAGGTGAGAGCATTACCAGAGAAGTGTTAAACCTCGTCTGTCTCTATGTGAAGCATTTTATCAAGCTTTAATACTGACGTGTTGCTTGTCAGCTTCAATCTCTTCTTTTTCTTTCTCTCATCAGGAGGCCAAGAAGACCTCATCCTTTCTTATGAACCTGTCACGAGACAGGAAAGTAAGTTTCATCTGCTTTTCTGTCACTGTTCCTTACATTATTCATTTCCCAATTTGGGGTCAGCAGAGCAGTAAGCCTTGCTGTGCCAGCCCTAGATTCTCTATGGCTCCCTATTTTTGGCCACTTGGTCTATTGCATAGAAAACAAATGATATAAGGGTCTCCTTCAGTTTCTATAGTCCTACTAATAAGCATGATCATCAGTCTACAAAATATTGATGCAGATTTTCTACATTTACTACAGTGTTGTTACATGGGAAGCCTTTAGTTTTTTCCTCATGTGATATGTGCCCTTAGCCTGTGTAGATGAACCTAGGGGAAGGCAACTGAAAATGGGAGCACACCCACCTGATTTAATAGGGGATACACTCGTATAACTGGGGAGAAAAAAATCCTACACTGTCCTTTCCATGCCTCCTGAGAGAGTCCATCTGCAAGCATTTGGGCTTGATTTTGTTGAGCAATAGCGGATATACATACTTCCACATAGTCATTTGGCTACACTTGCATGGACCATCACAGAGCTCTGCAGAACGAGTGGTACTCATTCCATTTTCCTTATCCATGTCAATAATCAGTTATTCATCAATAAAATATGCCCTAGGTTTTCACTTCATACATTAAAGACAACAACTGTGGTTAGTGTATCTTTGGGAAGATTTACTGTTACTGCCAGTAAGATCATCAAAATGTGCCTCTCTTTCTGTTGTTCAGTTAATTACACCAGGCCGGTGATTATCCTGGGTCCTATGAAAGATCGGATCAATGATGATTTGATATCTGAATTCCCTGATAAGTTTGGGTCGTGTGTACCACGTAAGTATGATTTTGCTCCTAGCTCCATAGCTGAGTGAGCCGCATCCCTTGGTTCCACACATGAAGTAAATTGCTGTGAAAGTAGCATCTGTGAACTATATGTAGTTGAGTTTCTCAAAAGCCATTTGTCCATCAGACAGAAAAAGGGGAAAGGATGAAATAGATAAAGATTCTGAATTGACTCAAAAGCTGTAGCCTTTGTTTTAAACAAGGAGCCTTCTAGCCACTTACTCGGCTTACTAATCAGTTTGTGATTCCTTAAGATAAAAGTTTGAAATACTGGTAATATGTAAATGTTTCAACTGAACTACACAGCATCCACCAATAAAGATCTGGAGTGATCTGTGATTTGTGTTAGATCTAGGCTGCCTAATCTGAAAGCAGTGTTTTTATCTTGGATCATTAGAGCTCACTGAGTGCTTCTTTCGGGCCCTGATTGCAGTCATATTTCAATTAAAACTGTTGTCTCTGCAAATACTCCATCTTCAAACTGCTAGAGATGAGATCAGAAATAAGGCTTATAATTAAGACTAAATTGAATTGATGAGATTGTGATTCATTATACCACTGTAATAGGATTAGATTTACAATCTGGAATGCATTTTGTATTTGAGGTTTGTGTGTGATCCTGCTGGGAAAAAAAAGTGGAATTCTGGTAAATCCTTATCTTGTATTAGCCTGTAACTATGGTATTACTACAAAAAGACAGTTTATTGTCATAACTCCATTGAAAACAATACGTAGTATGCAAAGATCTGCTCCCAGACATGGAGCGCCTCCACTTAGGGTAGTCCCAGAATTGCCCACTGAGCAAACCTTAACTGCTGCATGTTGTGTATTAGATACTTACACAGACTTCTTGATCTGCTGTCTTTTGTTTCATGCAGATACCACACGGCCAAAGCGTGACTATGAAGTGGATGGGAGAGATTATCATTTTGTCATTTCAAGAGAACAAATGGAAAAAGATATTCAAGAGCACAAATTTATAGAAGCTGGGCAGTACAACGATAATTTATATGGAACTAGTGTCCAGTCTGTGAGATTCGTGGCAGAAAGGGTAGGTTGACACTAGTTTTATTGCCTATGCAACATGTGTTTTGTTTCCACATTGTATCTCAGACATGATTCTTCTGTCAAAAATATAAAATAGCTGCAAAACAGCATCCTCATATTTATAGGTTTTACAGTGACTCCACAAGTGGAGCCTCTGACTTTAAATAACAACGTCCTTGGCACTTTTTGTACTTGGATGTAGTTCTGTGGATCCAGTGATCTAACAGAGTGCCTCAAGTACGCCCTAGAACAGCCTTTCCTTTTCCTCCTGTAAGACAGGTAAATAAACTTATCTCACTTTCACAGAGGCGAAAGAACAAAACACAGAATGATTAAATTACTTGCCTCAGGTGAAACAGGGAGTCTTTGACTCAAACAAGACCTGAATTAACCAGTAAGAACCTAGACATCTTGTTATTTTTATGAACTTATTTTTCCTCATCTCTGAAGAAAATCCTCTCCCCCTCACAAAGTTCATTCCAGTAAAACTAGTATCTCCAGAGTATATTTTATATTAGCACCAAAGCAAAGCCCTGTGGTCGCCCTTCCCTCATGTACCAGTAATGGCCCATTCCAGGTCACTGTGTTGCAGAATTGCTTCTCTTCTTCTGGCTGATGTGCAGCGAACTGCAAAAATAAGAACATCCTCATCTGTTTCCAACAGGGCAAGCACTGTATACTCGATGTGTCGGGAAATGCTATCAAACGACTACAAGTTGCACAACTCTATCCCATCGCTATCTTCATTAAGCCTAAATCCTGGGAGCCTCTGATGTAAGTATAAACTCCTTCAAGTGTTTTATTTTTGGGGTACAGTCACAAATGACACCACACAGGTCTTGAATCTACATTTTGCCTGTCCTCTAAAATCAGTAATAACAAGAAGTAGGAACAGTGGAGAGTTGCTCTTCCTCACTGTCATCCACTATATCCCAGCATCTCAAGGAACAAATCGAACCTGCCTTTGAAACTTTCACACTGGGACATGTGGGCTTACATGCTGGACCACCAAAGACTCCCTTCCATTGCTCACTGTACTTGTTCCAGCCTGTTCAGCAAGTTCACCAAGGACTCATGCAGCATGGCTTGTCCTATCCAGTCTTGGGTGCTCCTAGGGTGTAGCGTCTGGTCACAGGGGACAAATCAGAGGGTAAACCTGTGTCAGATTTGTGGTGCATGCCTCACCTATTCATCAGCTATAGGCCTATAAGAGGGTAGGCAAGGACCCATGGGACTGGAGAGGGGCAAACATAACTCTTAAAGAAGGAAACAAAAGACACCAACTTCATGCAGGCAACCCAATTTCAGTACTCAGAAAAACACTGGGATCCAGGGAACAGTTAAGCAACTCAGGTATAATAACTGAGAGGATAAAATGGTTCTAAGATGGAGCCAATGTATGTGCATCAAGAGCAAATCAAATCAATCACATGTCCTTCTTTCATGAGATTGATGTCAATAACTCTATTGCATCTTGATTTTGCGGACATTCTCAGTAGCAGCTTAGGGAAATACAGTCCAGAGTGAATTACCAGCAACCATGTGCACAACTAAATGCAGTCATTGAAAATGGCACTGTTAAACTGGGAGGTAACAGAAATCCTGCAAGTTTATCTTCCGAGCTGAGTCCCTAATTTGGGACTATTTGTTATTTTCATGAATTACTTGAAAGATGAATCGGGCAATAGTTCCGTAAAGTTTGTGAATAGCTCAAGGCTGAGCGAGGTGACAAGCACTTTTGAGGATAAGATTAAAACTCAGTGTAATATCAGTAAGATGAAATTCAGCACAGACAAAAGAGAGAAAATGAAAAACGTGAGTACAAGCAGGGAATAATTAAGCTACAGCACTGCAGAAAAGCATCTGGTGGTTGGGATGGATCACACAGGAATGTGAATGGATGGATAATGTGGCTGCAAAAAGGAAACTGCCACTGTGGGCTGTATTAACACCAGCGTTGTGTGAGGGCACAAGAGGCAGTTACTTTGTTTTACTGGGTATGGATGAGGCCTCAGCTGGAGTGCTGGCCCATGAACGTGCATCCTCCCTGGCCCTACCTTTTGGTTGTTGCATGTCCAGCCACATTACAGGGAATGATGCACAGCCCCATCCTGACCAAAGCTATCTTGGGTTGGATGACTTGACATTTCTTCCAGCCCTACAATTCAATTATGTTGCTGTATAGAAGGGGGAGGGTAGTCTGATTGCCTGTCTATCTTCTGCATTGGTCGTTTTAAGACAGATCTTAACCTACAGTTTTCTCATCCATAAAATATTTCCATTATTTGTTAATGCTGACGTTGCATCTGGAGTCATAAACCACAGCATAAATAAAAGTATCCCTTAGTCTGAAAAATACATTAGGCAGAACCAGAAATGTGGCAATAGCATAAGGGCTTCATTGATTGGATGTAAGAACAGACTGACTGAACAGTGTTATGAAGATGCAGAATATTATGGCATTAAGTTTATTAATTTTAATGTTATTTAAACAAGTTAATGTTTTAACATTTAACAATTTTTACATTTGTACAATTTTACAAGTTTTAACAACTTTAGCATTTTAATGTTTTAATAACATTAATGTTATTTAATGTTATTAAACCAAAGCAATGTTATTATTTTCCTTAGGACAAACCAAGTTATGCAGAGTTAGCAGAATTTTCCTTACTGGTATAAATTAAAAGCCAGTCAAAAGTCTTCACTCTCCAAACCTAAACCTGCCTCAGTGTTGGCAGTATGGTAGGGACAGACGAAGAGAAATCCAGTATAAGTTTGAATTCCTTGTTCTGCAAATATGCTGTGGAAAACTCCCTTAATTACAAACCCAAACTTCTGTGGGACAGCAAAAGTCCTTATATACCAGTCCTAGTTTGGGATTGTTTGCAGCAATATGGCTTATATAAATGAATTATGTAAACACAACTCCTGGAATAAAAGAGAAAAATGTAATGAACTCAGGCATTCTAAATCAGTTTATCCCCTACAGCCTGCTCTCCACAGGTAATCTTTTTAGCCAGTTTATCTAATGTGTATTTATCTTATGAAACAGCACCCAAAATGAGTTTCTAACAGCAATGAGAACTCTTTTAATATAAACAGTATAATTATTTTTATAGAACTGTCTTGAGAATAATGACATAATTTTGAATCATTTAATTTATTTAGCAATGAAACTAAACCATGCAGGGTCTGGCTGAACAAATACGTACTCTTTCCTAAGCAGTGGTAACGTGTAGGGTGTACATAGGTGAACAGATACACCACCTTTCCAATAGACACTATTATTTTAGTGTGGAGAACTTTAACATGGTACACCAGAGCTCTGTGGGAACAGAAAGAGGATACTTTTATGATAGCATAACTGTGTTCAGTCTTTTTTATGCATGTAACTACTACAGCACAAAAATTACAGGTTTATCTGCCATAACTGTAACTCCTGTTCATTCAAATGAGTTGAAAGTTCCTCCTTTCCTTTCCTTTCCTTTCCTTTC